TTAACATTTTTATGCCTAGAAAACAGGATGAGATGCCATGCAGCACAAAGCGGCTGATAAAAATGTAATTTTAGTAAAATGCCTATGCCTGTGGATTTATGAATGTCCAAAGAGAGAAATACTCCAAAAGTCATTTTCTGTGTGGAAGAGACTACGTTTTAAGTTTATAACTTAAAATAGACCTTCAGCACTTGTTATGCATTAGGAGCATAATGATACTCTGAACATAAAGACTGATTTGGATGGTGTAAAATATAACAATGCCTAAATCACTGCTTCCAAATGAAATGCTAAGTAATTGTGCAGAGCAACACATCAAAATGTTGGAATAGGCCCAGCGCAACATAAAAAGGGACGACAAAGATGAGACAAGTAAGGGTACTTTTACAGGGTCTCTTATGTGAGCGCTTGCTGACAAAAACCACAACTTAAATCACTGATCTATACCAGTCCTGAAATCTTGATCAAAGCATCCTTATCATACACCACATCAAATTAGCCCAGTATGAAAAGAAGTACAGTATATCCTTCTTGTAGACAGAAACCCACCTAAACCTCTGTTTAAGACAAAATCTATGTCCTTAACACCGCACTTCTATTAACAGAGCCTCCACATTTGCATGCACATCCTACTGTGGTTGTTGTTCTGGGTGGCCTATTTGCTTATAGCTGCCAGGTCCAACGACAGCCACATCTAAACAATCTGGGATCAAGGCAACAGGTTACCTCACCAACTCAGAGCAATCCAGGGGATTTCCCAATGACTAATCCAAGTTTACAAAGCAGAGGGACTCCGAACATCAAGTACTACAGTACAATCAAGCTGTTTGTGGTTAGGTTTTGTGTGCCGTCAGGCCACTTATTAGTAGCAGTAAGGAGTCGGTAAAAATAATATTCAAGTAAAATGTAAACCTGGCCATTCAATGTACTGTTGCTGTATACCTCATTGCAACTGCAGCCACCTAGAAAAAGCTACTGTTATAGTCAAAATAGTACATCATTTTTAAACCACAAGATAATAATCACAGTCAGCCTGTGTCACAGAGATGAACTGGATACACCAGCTTCCTCTTAGTCTCCGTACTTCCTGGCAAATATGAGCCCTGGGGTGGATTCCTAATAGGAGTGAACAAACCAGTGGCTGAGAGAGCCACGTGTTGGAACTTGTGTATGAGCATCTCAAGAGCAGGAGGCATTCCAAGTTGCATGGTGATGCCACAACAGACTGGGATCTGCACAATTCAACAATAACTACAGTACAAGATGTTTTTTTTCTCTGCCATCTCTCCTATCAAACATTTTCCAAAGAATCTGCACCTCTGTGACGCCTGAGGGAGACAGCCTACCCGCATTTTAAACAATGGGAGGACTGTAATTCATGGCCTGTACTGAGTATAATCTATGCTCTGATGCCATTTTACTTACCCCCAAAGTGGGGGGATTCAGGTGATAGTGTAACATATATTCAGGGGATTCAGGCTGAATTTCTGTCACAATGACTGTCATGTGACACAGACTATGGTTTGATAGCTGTCACAATACCAGATTATAAAACAGGTATCTCAGATGTTCAGCTGGATGCTGTTAGAGTTTACAGTTTAAGCAGTTCTAAACACATTATTAACAACGGATAATGTAGCCCAGTTTCAATGCTGCATTCACATCATATTATGTGAACCATAACTAGACAGCAGCCAAGTGGGGAAACCCAAGAGCCATTCACACCAGCTGCTAACTTGTAAATTGTGAACTGAAGAGTTCAGGATGTTCCACCACTGACAATATCACCCAGTAGGTGAAAAGGACTACAGATGTGAACAAACTCCTGGCACAATGGCTGCAAAAGCAAAACTGCTTGCAGTTACATCAAAATAAAATCTAGGATTACCAACACAATACAAATATAATTGATTCATCTCATTTTATAGGATAACTACCATTGTGTGGATCTGGTTTCACTCAGTCATTGACAGAAAACAAGCAGGGATCAGAAAGTGAGAAACAAAGTGGTCAGATCAAATGGACCTGATAAGTCACCCATGGAAAATCTATTTCATGATGCCATTTCAGCTACTATACTCACGTTGCCTGGCACCAACACTGTAGGGCAAAAAAGACCTGCAGGCTACACCTACTGCTGCTTCAATAAATTCACACATAACATCTAAATGTGGACAGGACAGAGATAGCAGTGTGTCACAGTAAGATGTGGCTGTGCCTCAGGAGTCTACTTTCATCAAGAAAGAAATATACATATATTTTATCAATATTACTCTTCTAGTCATGCATTCACAGCTATTTATGTCAACACAATAACAGCGGTGGTTTCGATTACACACATCCTCATTTTCTATCTGCCAAAACCACAGAGCAAAACCCCGAACCATAATGAACTAATAACGTAAAACACTGCTGAAACATCTTTTCTCAAACATGAGGAACTCAAATTACTTGAGAAATGCTAGCAACTATCTTGACTGCATTTCACCGAAGGCAGAAGGTTTTACAGAAGTGGAGACAAGTGCCATTGCTATATTGAGCCTGCAGTGCTGGATGACTTTGCCTTTACATTCATTAACAGTTGAACAGAATTCATTGTTTTCCATTCTGGCTGATTCTTATAACAGTAATGTAAAAAAAAAAAAAGTGCACTTGTCATTCTTCCCCTTACTGCTCCTGCTCTTTGTCCCTTGACAAAGGGCTAAGTTCTCTTTTCAGTCAGTGACCCTAGTTAAAATGTAGAAAGTATAGAACGCTGATATTGACTGTTCAAACAAGCCTGCATGGGCAGCCATTTAGGAAAACTAGAGAGACAGAAAGAGTCAAAAATACAAAGAAAATGAGGAACTGGAAGAGAGTGCATGCAATATTTGAAAAGAGGGTGATAAGACAGAAGAGAAGCACAATTGCGGAATAAATTTCCCTATTTCTCAACTTCATTAGAAACCTAAATTCACTTAAAACTACAAATCTGAGTTTCTCACTTGACCAGGGGATTTTTTTTTTTTTTTACTGTCATGAAACTACACAGTTGTATTTTCCTCTAGGCTGTGAGGACAGACTCGGCTGCTGGAGGGCATTGGTAGCACATCGCCAGGCGCTGAGCATGAGATAAGGGCACAATCTTAACCATAAAAAGTTCATTACTCCTTATTAATAAATATATACTGTCATAACATTCAAATAAGGTTGTTGTTAAAGATGGGAGCCAAAAGGAACTGTGAATAGGACACAGATGAAGGGTCACATCACTGCAATGTCAACATGCAGAACTGAACAGTGAAATCTTTACTTCAGAGGGAGTCCTCAATTGTGAATGTGAGCTCATGATATGGCAGCAGGTACATTTTCTCTACAGGTCTCCTAATGGTCATTTTCACATCTTATACATTGGTCTCAATGCTCCAGAGAAATACAATATCAGCCTTCAAGCAACTCATGCTGATAAGCAGGTCACCACCATCTCTTCGCCCTACAAACTATGGCTATCCTCCCTTCGACTCCCACTGAGAACAAACAGCAGACCACACGTCTCTCTCTCCCTCTCACTTCCCTGAAACCTTAATGAGAGACTGTGAAGAGTTCTGTCAGTGTGACAGTAATTACAGAAACTGTACTACTCAGCAGCTGCGAAAAAATCCCCACGTGGCATCTGGAAAGAAACATGTCACACTCCCTGAAATCATTCTGATCTAACTAACCACATCTTAAGAGTGAGATAAGGTATTCAAGCCATATTAATTGCATTGTTTCATACTACTGCTGAACAAATTCTACAAGAGGTCACACAGACATAAGGCCCAAGAATATGCCAGCAATTATACAGCGTTATCACTCATCGTGCTACTGGAACGTGACATTTAGTCTGGCTAAGGTGGCCTAGGGTAGAAACGGTGTTAGGCTATAAACAGTGAGTGCAAGTACCTAAAATGGTTCCCAACATTTGCCTTTCCAATTACTGGTGTCCCTGGGTAGAAGGATGTTCACAGACATTCTCCCTACTGGCATGCAGTTGCTACATCCTCTGCTCCAGTCAGAGCTGAAGCTATTCACTGATGGACAAATCTTATGGCAAAAACATTTGATAAATGGTTAGCCTATTTGTTCAAGTCACGTATTAAATAAAAATGCACCTATGCCTCACTGGTGCCAATTTGAAAGTGTAGTGCTGTCTGTGATTTATATCACTGTAAACAGAATATCTTTGGAAAACAACATTACTGTATTAGACTCATAAACCTTTACTGACATGTTGTAGCTTAAAGGATTATACCGTTATTGTAAGATACAATAAGTAGATAATGAACTGATTAAAACAAGGCCGTATTAGTAGGGAAAAAAGGGTCATTTGATTACAATAACCATCATAAGTTGCGACAGGGAATGCATGTAACAACTTAACCCTGAGGAAAAAAACACAAGCATCAGAACATATAATAATACATCGAGACATCCAGTAGATTCGCGTTTACTGGAGCTACCGTTAAGACATCATCTCCTCTTCTAGCTTCATAAATAATAATAATAAAGTGTTCATCTCCTCTTCTAGCTTCATAAATAAAAGCATTGTAAGTAATAAAGTGGAGCCACGTTTATTGCTGCGCAGCAGTTTTATCTGAGATTTATCTTGTAACGTTAATTTAAGCTTGACAGTGTGTCAGGCTACTAAAATTGGCTAACATTAACCTGGTTAGGAAAACCGAGAAACATCATTTTAATTGTTACAAACATATCGGCCAGTCAAACTAACAGTTAGCTAGCTGGGTAACAGTATATTGGTCATGTTGGCAAAGCGACAGGCTGGTTTTGTCAGGGTTAAGCATGGAGTTAACAGTTAGCTGTTAGCCGAAGTGAGTGACAACGTTACTCGGTGAATTCAGGGATAGCAGGGCTAGCCTGTAGCCCCCATGAGAAACGTTACTGCAGCAGCCTGCATCAAATAGCTTTCACCGACAGTGGCAGGTCAGATTCATTCCTCGCTCAGTCATATCGCGTCTTACCTGACTGCAAATAGCCACCTCTTCTTATATCTTTTAGGGAATATTTAATCGTCACAGGAAACTAAGAGCTGATGTACAATAATGATATCCAGATTCCTAGCTAGCAGCCAGTTATTTTTCCACTCCAACAAGCTAGCCTTGCTGATGAAGCACTGTGCCCCGTTGAAATTGCATTTCAACATCAGTGTGTCATTGCTCAGCAGCATAGCTCGGCCAGCTAGCAACAGCTACACAGGCTGTACCGACTCCACGTCTCGCATCCGATTGGCTACAGATGAATCAACTCTCTTTTTATTGGACAATGGTACTGTCAGTCAACCACACTGCAGCTGCTGGTATTTTGCCGTCCACCCTAGCCCCATCAGGTTGTTCACTTTCAGAGACAAAAAAAATTATGTAATCACCACTATAAAACAATGTGTATAGTAACAGAAATAACAAGAGGTCTCCATTTATATTCCACTTATGTTATATGAAGGAAATACTTATTAACTAATTTGTCTAAAAGCCAAAGAAAAAGTTGCACTCACTGAGTTGGACTTTAGAACAGACTGTACAATTTAATGAAATGTATAGGCCTACGTTGCTTTACATTTAATGGAAAATCATACAAAGAAAAGGAAAACATATAAAACCTGTGGACAATCAAAGAAAACAACCACATAAAAACAATGTTAAAATGTTTTCATATAGCATCTTCTTTTCCTAAATCATAATTAGCTGACAATATAGTGTGAGTCTGTTTCAGTGTCTTTTAATGAATATGTGTATGAAAAGTTTATTTCCCTGGTGTTTGTGAGCATCTGAATAAAATGATCAGTCATTTGCCATGTGCATCACACACAGACACACCGACATAATAACTCATCATCAAATTCCATTCAGGGCCCTCCTTGCAAATGATGATACTAATAAACACATCTGTGGTGACGAGCGTTGTAGAGTAAGTTAGAAGGTTGTGCAGCTTGCTGCAGGATGCAGTCTGTTTCCTGCTCTAACAGATGGGCCTTCTCTACATGTATTCTCTTTTCTGCACCCAAAACCCCATGTCAAAACAAGGCCATAATACACCATGTAGAGTGCAACATGAACCTATCTGAATTTATTCATGTTCTTAAATTAAAAAAATAAACTTTACCTATTGATCATAGCATTTTAAATGGAAATGAGGTGACAGATGTGTTTTCAAAATAAAAAAGCACTTTTACACTCTCAGAGCTTGACTTAAATTGAAGAGGGAGCAGACATTTACTGTTTTTATCCCAAAACCTCAGACCAATGTGCCTCTCTATATATGATTATCTAATTCAGTTGCTGTTAAAAAAATGATTGCATCTGTCTGACATACCACTGCCTTTATAATTTACTATGATAGCCCTGCGATGGACTGGCGACCTGTCCAGGGTGTACCCCAGCTCTTGCCCGATGCTGGCTGGGATTGGCTCCAGCCCCTCTGCGACCCTGTTCGGGACTAAGCGATATAGCTAATGGATGGATTTACAATGATAAAGCATTATCTCCTAACTCTAGTTGTTTGAGTAATAAGTTGGTATATGAATGCCACCTGCTGGGCTGTTAATGGAACATGCATGTGCCAGTTTTGAACATGGTTTATGTCTTCCTTCATCCACTCTGCATCATCATTATACCCTTATTTCATTCCATCACTGTTGCATTGCCCCAGGGAATTCACAGAGACTAACCACATCAGCCACAGAGAAAGGAAACATTGCTGGTGAAAAAAGACAGATGGTCTTGTTAGGTATTTTTAGTCAGATAGAAATTGGATAGATACTTTATGTATTAGAAATGTTTAGTGGAGATAGGATGTCTAGTTAGACTGTTAAATGCTTAGTCATGCTTATGAGTTTCTACAGGGTACATCTGGTCAAGGATAACTAGAGAGAAGAGTTGATGACTGTCAGCAGACAGGGTGTTTAATATTATTATTATGACGTGTATAACTGTAGCCTTAGCCATAATATGTTCTTATGTTTAAGTCACGACATGTTACTAGAAGTCTGTGAGAATGTTTTTAGCTACACACCACTTAACCAACAGACATACACACACACACATTGATTTGCTTCATGTTTTGACTACTGCTATGACCAGCTGCAAAGCTGGCAACAGAGACGTCTCGGTTAACTTTTCTGTGTAGTATGGGGCTAGCCCAACCGAGGGGATATAATGTATAGGCCTGGTGGGTTCGGGGTCTTTCATCTTACATCTGCCTGCGTGCAGTTTGGAGGTGCAAGATGCCTGAGCGTGTAATGTTAATTTTTACCTGTATTCATGGAATAAATCAGCACTGTTTTGTAGTTACTTGGACTGCCTCGTCTCTCAGAGTCAGTATGGTAAAAAGTACCGGGCACAACAGTCTTATGTTGTTTAAGGGGACTTTAATTCAGTACAGTGGACCTGCCTTTGGATTTTAGTTTGATATGCATCTGAAAATAAACAGACGTAGCATCATCCATTGCTAAATATCAACCAGCTGCTGGTGCCAGAACCAGTAAGAACAACACTGAAAGAAGGAGTGCATAAAACATTGAGGAGAGGAAATCATATATGAAATAATACAGATAGATCATTTCCATGTGCAGAACATATCTGATCTCCCAGAAACTTGAAGAGTGTACTTGTAAATTTAGATTAAATCTTATAAAAACAATGCATATACTCTTATTAACAGGCTGGCAAATAAAGGCTTCTATATATTTCCATGTTCATATGCTGACTCTTCTATAATTAGTTTTGATTAATTAAAATATCGATGCACTGATTAAAGCTAAGAAAATCAATACCAGTTATTTTATTAAATGTGGGTGGTATATATTTTTATTCTTTTTATTGTAAGTATGAATGATTTCTGTGCTGATATTTAGACAGGGTGACAAGTGTGGCAGTGTAACAACACAGGGATACAACACAACTTGTTGATATTATGATTATAAATTGTGTATATCATTAGAAGGATCTTCTTACAATGCCATTCACAAAACCAGATTCCATATGATTTCAATGTTTAAACAAAATAAATCACAAAAATGATACAGATTGTTATTTTCATTAACATATTGGTCTGTGAGACAATTTGACATTAAAGTAGTAGTACTGTGCGGAAATGGTCACCATATTACATTTGTCTTTTAACATCACACACAAAAGATTAAGACACTAGTAACACAACTGGCACTCTTCCAACAACACAATACAAAATCATCAGATAAAGATTCATACATTCTTTAAATTGCACAACCAAGCAACACTGTAAACAAATAGACATATATCTAAACTCATTTGATGGGCGAGTCTAGAATCTCTTGATAATCCTGCCGAATGGCTCTGCTCACCCTGTACAGCTTGACTCCTGTTAGGGTAAAAACACTGATCATGATGACCAAGCCTCCAATGACATCATAGAGGGATGGGATCATCCTCAGAACAATGAGCTGGAGGAACATGGCAACCACGATCTCTAGGTGCTGAACAGTGCTAACTAAAGCTGCATGAAACTTGTTTAGAGCATAGTATACTCCAAGAAATGCCACTGTGGAGCAGATACAGATCCCAATTAAATAGCCCCAGGTCTCCCCATCTAGAGGAATGATGGGCTCCTGCATGATGAACATGGTGGAGGCACCCCACACTGTGCCCATCCAGCCGAAGGTAAAGAGTGCCGTCCACATGCTGACACGCTCCTTAATGGCTCTGTAGACAATCATGGACAGGGCAGCTGTCAAACCAGCCATCACCGTCATTGTGTAGCCAAACGCCTCCTTCCAAAAGCCCAGCCTGGACTTCTCCTCATCTGCTATGTTTGGCACCATGACCAGGCACAGACCAAACACGCTTCCTACCACTGTGACCACATCTGTGTAGCCCAGCCTCTCATCCAGGAGCAGGAGGGCCAGTATTGCACTGAAGACTGTGGTGGAAGCACGCCACATGATGGTGCCATTACTGGGTGGTACTATGGTAAAAGAGGTGTAGGCGCAAGTGATAGAGATTACATTACAGAAACCGTAGAAGAACAGACGCAGGCGGTAGCCCTTTGGGCCAAATGGGGCTTCGTGGTAGTAGAAGACTACAAGGATCGACAGCACTTGGATCACAGAGCGGATAAAGAGAAGCTCAAGGGAGGGCACTTTAGAGTGGTCTGCTGCTAGACGAGTAATCAGTGCCACACAACCATGAGCCACTGCGGCCCCAAACAAGGCCATCCATGTCACTCTGGAGGCCAGCACATTCGCCTCACCAAAGCTGGCCAGTTGGCCCCCGACCCCCTTGTCTTTTTGAAAACTTGGCTGCTTAGGCTGGGTCTCCATGGTTCCAAAGAAAGTCCTACCACCTTTGCTGTCTGACACCAACCTCTTTCCCACATTGGTTTCTGCAAAGGCGCCAAAGTCCTCAAAGGAGGGTGCGTCATCATACCCTTCATCCCCAGGCTGGGGGAAGTGAGTAGCATATTTCACTGTTACTGTGTTTGGGTGAATCTTAACTCGCTTCTTTGATCCGTACTGGAGGGAGGATGAAGATACATCCATGTTTCTTTAGGTGTCACAGAGGATAATCTGAAAAATGAAGTGAAAATCATGACAGTGTAATGCAAAGTCTAGCACTTATTTTCTACCCCATGCATCCACATCAGCACAAAATACATGCTGACGCACTCACACACATTGCATGGAGGTAAAAAGCACAAACTTATCAGACCAATCACACTTACATTTCTACTGTCTCACACTCCTGTTGTGCTACTTCCATATATAGGCTATATAAATATCTTATGCAAGCTCATATAAGCCAAGCAGCAAGCATTCTGACTCTGATGTAGACTGATAGGGATGAAATTTCATAACCAAAAACCACAGAGACATGAATGTGGGCCACTTATGAGATGAATGGAGTTGCACACCATAAATTAACAAGGTCTGGGAAAAGGTCTTTGTGAAAGGGTTAAATGGCACTGAATAATTTGAAGGGTTATTTTGTCATGTCATTGGTCTATTCCTACTGTAATGCTTCTTTTTGAAAAGCAGTGAGGTTTGATTAAATGACAAAATTACCGAATATCCTTAAAATTAAGCAAAGTACATTCAAAAATTAAAAATCCATTAAAACATAGGTACATCCCTACTGAACTCTTTTTACAATCCCATTCATTTTGTTAATCACACAAAACAGCATGAATCAAAACCACAAGGGGGCATAAAGATACTCTTATTTGTCTTCTGTCCTCGGTTGCCCCTCCTTTTTGAAACCTTCAGGATGGTAATGTTACTGTAAAATTGGTGTAAAGGTAAAGCGTTAAGAAAATGCTTAATATAGGATATTTGAGACTGAAAAGAAACAATTTAATCATTTAATAAGGGCTTAATATTTTTAGCTGAAAGAATGACGCTGGTGGTTTTCCCTTTAGATGATCATTTAATGATAAAATACAATTTTGTCATGTGTATTATTCAGTCTAGTTTAATTTAGGTTAAAACCGCGATAAAGACGGTCCCATACCATTATGGGTATAGCTGAATAACTGAATGAAGCGAGATAAAGCAGGCTATAATATCGGCAAATGTCTTACCTTTTCTTCTTTAAATAGCTCCTATTGGCGCACAAACCTGGGTTTGTGTCATAAATGAAGACTTCGCTGGAATTGTTGACCCTTACATTTGGTCAACTGCCATTTCTCCATCTTCCTCCTCGAGCGGAGCGCCTTTTGATGCTGCGTGCTGCCTTTCCACGCCGTCGATGGACTCTGCTCCTGCTGATGAAGCTCAAGCTGCTGATGCTGAGGCTGATGATGATGATGACGATGAAGAAGCCGGAGCAGGGGGGACGCCGGGGGAGAGAAACGACTGTCACTATCAGAGCCTCTGCGTGCTCCTCTCGCCACTCCTCCCCAAGCTGTTTAGATCCGCTCATACAGGGGAAAAGGATGCGCGTCGGTCTCCATCGCTATCATGATGTGCACTCTAGGCACATCGCTTTTCAGCATGCATCGTATTAAAGGTCATATGATGTAGTTGTATGATGTGTTTATGTTTAAAGCCCCTATTGCACTGCTGATTTATACGTGTGCTTGTACCATTGTTGTTTAACCTTTGCCAACTGGATTAAGTTGGCTATTTTTGTAATTCCGCATCACAGCTTGAAGTGATTAAGATTCCCATAGTCCTCTCTGGATTCCTCTCAATTGCTCCAAGACTCTCATGAGAGCAGTTGTTCTTTCTAGCAATCAATAAGGTTCTGTCTTTGGTTAGGGAAATCACTTTAACCATCACTTTCAATTGGCAGTGATCTACTTCACAGAAATGAAGCCAATGCTCTTGTAAAACAACCTAAAATGAAAGGGGGTGACATATGCACACAGCGGTCAACAGATAGATAAAGAAGAATGCATTTATAGCCCCTTTGATATAGGGGAAGCTGAACCCCCACCCACACAAACGCACGCCCCCACACCCAAAGTACAGGGCCTTCATGACCATGATTTTTATGAGTACCAAGGAGGCTGTGCCAATTAACCCTCTGCCAACACTTACAATTATATCTTTACAGTTACCAAAAGGATATAAGGAGAGCATCAGGGTGTAAAAATTGCATTGTACTTATAATTTTAATTGAATTATTTGAACAAATGAACGGTAAGCAAGACAACTCTGCAGCAGCTAAAGAGATAATGGGTATTATTGCAGTACTGATACTTATCCAGCAAATATTAGAATAAAGAATTGTCACATTAAAGTATTTGATAGATATTTTATAGTTATTGGCATTTAACTATCTGGGCTTGTCATATTTACATAATTAAGCCATAACTGAGTAATGTATGGCTATACATATACCCATTTTTACCACAATATGTGCTGCATCTGAGATTTTGTAGAATGAGACCAAATCTCTTATTTGAAAAGGAACAGTTTGACATTAAGGGAACTGTCTATTATTCACTTTCTTGCTATTTAACCAGGACTCCGCTCAGCTTAGCATAAAAACAATGTCAGGCAGCTTGAACAGAGGCTCCACTGGACAACGCTATCCTTAAAATAAAAGCATGTTAATTATATTGTCTTGAATGTACTGAAGTCTACTGCAGTGTTTTTAATCCATATAGAAGTGGCTTGTATACCTGTCTTAGCTCAGAACACATTGCTATGTTTTTTTTTTACACTTGTGGACTTTTGTTAAGTTGACATTTCAAGCATTTAAATTATTGTAACTTCAAGCTGTTTTCTTGCTTTCACCAGTCCCTTACCTGTCTCTGCAAGCATTCCCTCATATTTCTTCTACTCTTTTTTTTTTTCTTTTCAGTGAATCGTTTTCTACTGAAAAGGGATTTTGTGAGCACATAGAACAAAATATGACAGCCTTGTGGTGTGTTTTGTATTGATTACCTGTGATTTTCCCCCCCTGCTTGTTTGTTCCTCTAAAAGGCTTTCACAATGGACATGTGGCTCATTTATCGTCCCTTTGGAGCTTAGGCCATTTGTCACTGATCGAGCAGTTATCTCTCTGTTTTATTGGCTGGAGAGCAGAAAAGGACAAACTACCATCAGTTCTACTGGTACACTGACTGACAGCCTTACATAACAGGCTTGTCACTAACATGGGGCAAATAAAGTGGAATAAATGGAAGGTGGTGTCTTAAATAAGCTGTTTGTGTGTGGGTGTGTGCCTTTGTATTACTTACATTATGGGGACTGAACTCTTAACATACTCACATTGTGAGAAATCCTTAAATCATCAAGGTTTAAGGTTAGGGTTAGGGAAGTAATGGTTGAGGTCTTCAGGAAATGAATGTAAGTCAATTTAAAGTCCCCAACGGGAATGAAAACACTGTGTGTGTGTGTGCATGGATGTGAGAGAATAGATTAAACTAAACAAAATCTAAATATCACTAAGAGGTTGAGGAAAACTGAAGGAAATGAGCTGTCATCACTTTTTACTTTACTTACACAAAAACTCAAACTTATCTCACATAACAGTCACCTTAACAAGAATCAACATGCACACCAGGGGAAGCTAGCACACGGAGGAGTTAACTGACCACATGACACATCTACTGTATGTGTCATGTATTCCTCTGAAGATTATTACTCTGAATTCTGCTAAATCAGTGTCTTTAATTTGAACATATCAAAAGATTTATCCTACAGTCACTTTATCCTATATTCGTTCAGTTAGACTGTGGCAAGCTTTTTATTAAGGAGAAAGCAGTTTTCCACACTTTTCCACCTTTATCTCCACATTCCCAAGCTTGTCGATGCTGTAGCAAATGATGTCTTATAGCTTTTTTTTTCTTACTGTGATATCAGCTCCTAGAGCCACTGAAGATGAGCATAATTGGATCCTGAAGCTTCAGCAGCTGTTAATTTTCTTTTTTTTTTAGCTGGTTTGACGTGAGACTTAACTGCTCAAGAGTCAGGAAAGCTTATCATTTCTTTTTGAGGGAATTTCGGATCCCAGTACCATTTAGGCGAAACGGCAGCCCAGGTGGTGCCCCTGCCATTTTGCCTTCTGACTTGACAAGATAGCAGTTGAATCACTGAGTGTGTGCAGAAGATGGGTCAGTTTAAAATTCACCTCATTTATTTTCTGTGGGTAATTGGCTGAGGATCGTTGTGTCATTTGTGGGCGAGTTTGACTAAACAGACACAAAGACATTAATAGTTTTAAGGTGTATGTATGTATTACTTTGTCACACTAATTACACTAAGCTCCAGCGTCCATTTCTCCCACACAGAAAAACAACATTTGACAGCACCTTTTTGTTTTTTTTCATGACTCTTTCATTTCTACACTAAGCTGTGGTCAGTTTCTCCTAAACTTTCATGGCACACATTATGTAGCCATGAGGCTATGCCCCCTTCTCATTGCTCCCACTCCTCTCCTCTGTTACATTTTTATTAAGTTTGGAGGGAGTGCAGAACATGCGTGTAGTTAACCTTCAAGTCATACAGGGTCTAAGATAATGTGGCTGCATGGGGAAAATATTCTGTAAAGGTCCATTATAAACTAGCCAACAAAAAAGTTGATGCTCAAAAATAAAAGTTAAAAAAAGATGCAGTTAATGCTGAACACTGCACCCAAGGGATACAGAAGACTTACTGTATGTACATGTTGACATGAGATAAATATATTACTTTTCCAACTGTACTTGAAAGTTAATCTGACACCTTTTGTGAGACGGTGTTGCACATTACCTGCAGGTGAAAGCAGTCTGCTGCGATGTCGGATTCTGTGACATTTTGAGGTGAGGTGCTGCAGAGAGGTTTGGATGGGCGGCAAGCTGTGTTGCTTGCCATTGTGAGAAGGCTTGAGAAACCCAACTCTATGGCTGGAAAAGCATCATATGAGAGTACACAAGTGGAAGACATGTTCAGTTTTCACCATGGATAGACATAGTAAAGTCAAGCATGTACAGTAAGTGAGTAACTGTGGGTACTGTACCTCTGCGCTTATTCAACAAGATGAATATTTTTGCTTTGTTATCCTGGAGATCTTTATTAAGTGACATTTAACATTACAGCAAAACTACATCTACATCTGAAAGATAATGTTTCTTTATATATATTGTACTAGAAAATGAAAATCTTATTCTTCTCTGTATTAAAATAACACTGGAAAGACCATCTGGCACACACACAAATATTTTTGCACCAGGTGGTTTAACGTGACGTCAGCTCATGATTAAGACACAGCCATTTATGGTTTTGATTAAGCCGTCCGCCTCGTCTGACAGCTGCTGCAAACCAGCCCATGAGGCCTGATGCATCAACTGTTGCATATATGTGTGTGTGTGATGATCCATAATGCATGTGATGCTTTTGACTAGAAGCCTAGCCTCATGAGAATGCCCTTCTCTTTGCATCTGCCCACCCATTAAAACCTCACATCTTTGCCTCTGATCTCAATTCACAAATAAATCTTCTGTTCAGTTTATTAGATTTGCAATCATGCCAATCTTAACGAATCATTAGGCTGCTGTGTTACTGAAAGTCTGTTTTCCAACATATTTTGAGACAACTATATAGACTGTAGACAATATTGCAAAGCTAAGAGGTAGCTATCCTGTCTTTATTGTCATCACATTGTAGCAGCTAAAACAGCTTGTTTTAAAGTCAGGAAGCATTTGTCAGGCTGTTATGGAGACATGAAGGATGCTTATGTAAGTTATGAGGTGAAAAATGAATCAAACTGTGACTGAATAAATCACACTCTCACAGTGTGTGCAAGTGCTGCAGGCTGTAGTTTCTGTAGAAACACAGCGTTTTTGAGAGTACATGCCACGAAAGTTGTCGTGCGATGGTGTAAATCAGCCAGTCACAACCTGCAGTGCAGTCTTCATGTAAAGCAAGACAGATATTGATCATGAAAGGGCTGGCTCAAGAAAGGGTCTCAGTAACCAGTGCACACATCTGATGCCAGTAGAAACATGCAAACAGTCAAGAAAACAAGACATCATACTAGACTATGGACATTTTTTCACTCTAGACCAAGTAATTAATTGAGAAATTCGTGGTCAGAATAATTGATAATGAAAATAATTGTTTTATTTGCAGCTCAATTGCACCCAGAAGCATATCCGATCTTTGTAATATGATTAAATTTCAGTCCATTTTCACACTTTAATTCTGTTGCAGTCACAATCATTTGATTTCTTGACATGGAAAAAACTGTGAAATTGATGTGAATGATATGCAAACACATTTGATGGGAACATTTCACACTCAGCCAGTTCTTTAGTCACAAACATTATGAAAAGTGGTTTTGCTGAAAGATTTCTACCTGATTAGTTTATCCAAGGTGATGGTTGGTTAAACAAAGCAGAGTGCTTGAAATTGCTTAACAATGGTCTTATGATCATGTTAAACAATTTTTTGACCCAGGCCTGACATTTAGCACATCACTGGAGCGGGTAAGTATAATTTACTTTTTTATTCTCGAGTCAGTTACAAAGGTCACAGACACCCGAGGCATATTAGTACTTATACAGTAAATGCCTAGTGGAGGCACATGTGATTGTTGTAGCTGACTTTTTGGGTGAAAAGGTTGTCAATATTATCCAGGTTGACAACTTATTTTGTGCCACTGGCTTTTGTGGCAGTGGCTGAATTCATGCTGCCAAAACCACTTTAGATTTTGTGTTTCAACTGATTT